ACAGGCATCTTCAGCTTCAACACGGATGACCACTGATCATTCTCTACATCATACATCTCTCCATCCTTTGTTGATTGAATTATTTTTAAAAACAAAAATTAAAATTGCTTAGTATTAAATTTCACATTTAAATATATATTTTGTACATGAAATTGAAAAAATAAAATAATCAATAAACGTGATTATTCAATTACTAATGAATAAATATTTGAAATGAAAGAGTGAAAACGATAAAAATAAGCAAAACAAACCATTGCATTTTGTGTTACTTTTTTACCTCCGAAAACAAAAATCTTATTTCCCGTGCATGTCATAACGTGGGAACGACGTTCCGTCAACATGGGAGCCCTCGGAAACCATTTGTTGCAAGAAGGGTCATACCGGTACACTACATTCCGTACATCGCGACAATCATCCCATCCGCCACTAACATATATCATACCATTCCACACACAACCTGTTAATGGGTGGTTAAGTAGGATTTGTTATAGTTTATTATATATATTATGCAACAATTTTACATGAACTAAATAAATAAATCTATATGTTTACAGATTAATTTGTAAAATAGAAAATTTAAATAAAAGCTTAATGAAATATATTGAAATGATGAGATCAAAGTTAAGTTTAACGTTGAAGTACGGAATCGTTTTCAGTAATTGACGGAAGACGTAAAAAAATCAGAATATGAAATATTTAGAGATGCCCTCACAGAATCAGCAAAGGTAGTTATACTTGTGAAGGACAAAAGAGGTCAGAAATAGATAACAGATGACATCGTATCACTGATGGATGAACAAATGAAGTAAAAAGTTGCAATCCTGCTAGTTACAAAAAGCTGGAAAAAATGGTCAAAAAATGCGTTTAGAGGCAAAGGAGAAATGGTTAAATGACAAGTGCAAAATCATTGAAAAGATCAAAAACAGTAATAAAAATGCAATGTAAAAAACATCAAAGAAATCACTGTAAAAAGTGCCTTGTGCCGTTTCTGGATGCATAAAAGCTAAATCTGGTGAAGTATTCTTAGAGAAAGAAAAAATATACTAGAAAGATGAACAGAATACATTAACGATCTTTTTGATGATATCCGTGGTGAAAAGCCTCCTATTAAAAAAGACGTAGAAGGACCAAAAATACTTAGATTTGAAGTTCGTGTCGCTCTTTCCAAAATGAAATGAAATAAAACGCCAGGTCCAGATGAGATAGTTGTTGAAGAAATTAAATGCCTTGATGAATTTGACATTGAAAAAGTGAGAGAAATTTTGAATGAGATTTATAACAGCGGCAAAATTCCTGAAGATCTATCTAAGTCAATATTTATTGCATTGCCTAAAAAACCTACAAGAACTACATTGAATAATCACCTTCATGAACCATCTTACTAAACTTTTCTTGAGAATTCTGATGATGAGAGCACGAAGCAAAATCAGATCTAAAATTTCAAATATCCAATGTACACAAGTAACGCTATCTTTATGCTACGAATGATCAGTGAACGAGCGATTGAAATAAAGAAAGACTTGTTTGTATGTTAAAGTTTTTTGGTTACATCATGCGGAAGGAAAAAATGGAAAACCTAAGAACTACTGGAAAGATTGCAGGAAAAAGAGATCGCGGTCAACAACAAATAACATTCGTGAAGTTTTTGTGTCACTTGTTGAATATCACCACATTTCAACTACTACAAAGTGTTAACAATCGGGTTTTGTGGATGTCGATGGTCGCCAATATCCTGATTGGATAAGGCACGAGAAAGAAGAATATATATATATATATATAACAAAAAATTGGAATTATATATATATATATATATATATATATATATTTATATACCGGTAAAAGACCATGCTGATAAAAGACCATTATATATATATATATATATATATATATATATATTATATATTATATATATATATTTTTTACAACATTCTATAAATTCTACCGAATGTTTGACGTTAATATGTTTGTAGTTCGTTTTTTCGATTTTTCTCACTAAAGTTTTTTGAAGAAACTAAACGTTCTCCAAAAAACTTTAGTGTGAAAAACGCCAAACATTCGGTAAAATTTATAGAATATATATATATATATATATATATATATATATATATTTATATTTATATATATATATGCTGGAAGGAGACCATAATTAATACAGTATTGTATGAATTCTACCGAATTTTTGGCATTATTAAATTTAAAGTTTGCCATTTCATTTTTCCTTACTAGAATTTTCTGGAAATGGCTCAGTTTGTTAAAAATAAGATTATCCAAGTTTATCATGAAAATTTAATGAAACTGTTGTTATCCGAATTCATCATGCAGATAAGGCTTTATTTCGATTTTTCATAAATCATCTTTAATGCAGGTTTGGTTTAAACCAAATAAAGAAATATAAATATATAAACCAAACCTGCACTGAAGATCATTTATGAAAAATCTAAATAAGGCCTTGTCTGCATGATGAATTCGGATAACAACAGTTTCATTAAATTTTCATGATGAACTTGGATAATTCTATATCCAACAAGTTGAACAATTTCCAAAAAATTCTAGTAAGCAAAATTGAGAAGGGATGAAAGGGTCGGGATTAGGCGAGCGTTGTAGTTCGAGGTTGGAGGAGTTGGAGGAAGGGGTCGTCCCGCGATTGGGATGGAGAAAGCAGGTGGAGAAGGACAGAGTGAAACGGGGTTGCGTGATACATAGGCGAGTGACAGATGTGAATAGCGTCGAGGGGTATTTCGGTTTCATCATAGGTAGCCAAACGGCAACCCCCAATCTCGGGGAAAATGTCGTCTAAAGGTGTGTTGTTGTTGTCTAGTAAGTAAAATTGAAAAACAAACTTCAAATTGATAAATGCCAACAATTATAAATATATATATTGATTATTGTTTTTAGTCTGAGTCTATTTTCTTGTTTCAAAATTAAAATATTTGTTAAATTAATTAAAATTTGTGCAAAAACTTTTACAATTAAATTTGAAATAGATACCAACAATACAAGACATAAAACAGATATTATAGTGCATTAATCATACCTGCCAGATGCGATAGAGCAAGGGGTAAAGGTTCCACCATGTACCATCTGTTTTCACTCGGTGTGTATTTTTCAACCGTGGGAGTTTCACTGCAGTTGGCGGTGACACCAGCAACTGCATATAGCTGGCCAGCTAATCCTCCCAGGTAGAACTGGCGCCTCGCAAGATTCATGCTGCAACACTGAATATTCATGAGATGATGATTATTAACATAAAACTGAGTCACTAGTTAATTTGCTATTGAAATATACTCAATTAAAGTAAAATGCATTAAATGGATGATATATATAATTCAAACAGGGAGCACTTACGTACACATTGCATTAAAGACCAAATTTTTCAATTGAATAATGAGATATTTAGCAAAGAAAAAAAATTATTGATCACAGTACGGAGCACAGACTTAAAGTCAGTCGACTAGTACACTATAGTAGCTATTGATAAGAATGAATAATTCCATCCAAATCCATGTTACAATTAATTTGACAACAATAATTTAAAAAAATGTGTTCTTACAAATACAATTGAAAATTGTAAACCTTAGACCAGGCTGCTGTAACCGGATTGTACCTGGAAACTTTACAAGTAATCGAAGTTTTACGCGGTTTTCCTCCGACCAGATACAAGCAGTTGCCTACCACACAAGCATTATAACCATCCAAATCACGTGGCGGCCCCCGTCTACCTGATGGATTGAATCTGATGGGTTTTGGCTTGGCGGTGCTGTTATCACAGATCTTGCAAGCTTCAACAAAATCATAAACTCGCAGAATATTAAAAAAGTTTCCATCCTGGTCCTGAAACAAAAAATAAATTAGAATCGAATGAAAGTATGTAAAAGTAACCACTTATTTGTAAACAAAATTCAATTCACACCTTGCTTTCAGTTGATCCAATAGCAAAGAGCATACCAAGTGTACGAGAGATATTTGAATCTTTATCTTTATTATGGCAGATATTTAATTTCAGATCATTAAGTACGGCAGTACATTCCTGTTTCTCAGCGGTTGTCATCAGACAGTACCTCACTTCGGTCAACAATTTTTCTACAAAACATTTCCTCGTCTGATCATCTGAAACCCACTTGATAATTAGATTGAAAATATCAATCTCGCTGTCTGCATTTATTTCCTCTGATGCAACCAAGCGAAACATTTCGTCTGGTGATAATGATATTTTAAAGCTTTCTGGGATATCTTTGAAGTTCTTCAACATATACCTAAAAACTTTTTCGATCACCTGGTCAGTTAGAACGTACTTATTTGCTATGTTCAAAATACGAATGCATGTTGACATGTTTAAGTGTTTCAACAAAAATTCAACGTAATTATCAATCATATCATTGATTTGTAGATAGAAGGCACCATCCAATCCTGCTTCTACTTTATTCAACGACTTCAGGCGAGGACGTCTGCCTTCAACCTCGTTGGTTGACAACCTGGATAAATAATCTCTTACTTCTTTCAAAGACTCATTCGTTAAACATTGGAACGTAAGCTCTCTATAATGGGCATCTCTCATTCCACTGTTCACCAAGCCTTGGAAATAATCACTGGTCCGAAGGAGCATGCTTCGGACAACTGGATGACGACCTCCTGTCTCAGAAGTTAGTACAATTTGCTCTTCTGTAGAGCCATCATTACTTTCTACGTCGTCTACATCATTTTTCATTTTCAATTCTGTCACAACTTTGCAATAAATATGAAATCAGATCAAAATATCGGTCATCTAAATGTGTCCGTGTGCGTTAAAAAAAAGATAACCTCTTGCAAGCAATGAAGCTGTAACGAAATTTCATGTTACGTATATTATATATATATATATATATTATACTATATATAATTATATAAATTATATATACTATATATATATATAATATATATATATATATATATATATATATATTATACTATATATTGGATTAAGACTGTCAGAAATGCTATTATTGATGAAAAACACAGCATGT